ATTGAAAGCACTGCACAAATGGTCCCCAAAATGTGTTTCACGTGTTGTTTACAGTTTTTGTGATGCATTTCAGGACAAGTGATTGATTACATAAGCCTTCCCTGCGATTGCATTACATCCGTGTGTTTCGGTGGACAACAGTTGGACCAACTCTTCGTGACCACCGCTTTGTGGCCATTGGACGACAGCCGAAGAGCACAGCAGCCAAAAGCTGGTCATCTCTTTCGTGTGACATCCGATTCAAACACTTTCGGCGGATTTGAAGCCAGCGTGCAATTCAAACAGTGATTGCATTTCAAAGCATCACTTGTTTTGATATATCTTTTTGTTTAACAATTCATTTCAAATATGTTTACATTAAATGCAATCAATTATTCAGTAATAAATTGCTTGAAATTAAGCCCAAAATTATTAACAAATGTGAAAATATTAGCTAAAAAACAATCACTTCTTCAAGTGATGGACACAAACAACAGTTGCCTTTCATTACGTGTCTGTCATTCATATAATAACAACTCATTAACCGATGATTTAAATCACAATTTAAGTAATATTCAACATTTGGGTCAAAATCGCAAGACATGGCAAACCGAAGACATGCAGATCAGGAACCGATTGGATTCAAGTGAGCGAAGAGTGCCGAAAACGGGTGATGAGCACCGACTGCAACAAAGACATCGCGTCCAACAGCCATCGATGCCACGATTGGCCAAAGTTGTGGTCATCGGTGCCCCAAATGCGGGCAAATCTACGTTTACTAACCATTTGATTGGACGCAAAGTCAGTTCCGTCTCCACTAAAGTCCACACAACTAGACATAAAGTGATCGGCGTTTTAGTGTCCGACGAGATTCAAGTGGAAGTGTTGGACACACCGGGAGTCGTGACCACAAAACATTGTCTTAAGCATAAACTCGAGTCCAGTTTTATGAATGACCCGTTGATGGGCGCAGAGGCGGCCGATGTCATCGCTGTTATCACCGATGCCTCTAATGTCCGCGAAAGGCATCGTCTGAACGCCGGACTCATTAGACTTCTTGAGAAATATCCGAATAAAGAATCGGTTCTTATTTTGAATAAAGTCGATAAAATCAAAGACAAACGTAAACTACTGGACATAACCACAGAACTGACGTGTGGTTTCGTCGGAGGAATATCTTCTATTAAGACTAAAAAGGTTGTCATTCCCGACAGTAAAAAAGGTTTAGAGAAACTCTTCGAACAAACGGAACACCACTTGAATCCAGAACTCTCTACCGCTGAGGATAAAGACATTGACGACGATATTGAAGAGAAAATAGGTTGGAATCACTTTTCGCGAGTGTTTATGACTTCAGCCAAAAGCGGTGATGGAATCGATGACATTAAAGAATACCTGTTAAGCAGAGCTCGTTTCCAGCCGTGGAAATACCACAGATCACAAGTGACTGATCAAAGTCCTCATGAGATACTGAGGAATGAGTTGAGAGAGAAGTTCTTAGACGTGTTTCGCGAAGAGATTCCATACAAAATCAACTTTGTGGTGACGATGTGGCACATGGATCAGTTGGGCAACCTCTTCATCTCAGTCGATGTCTTGTGTCCGCATAGATTTCAGTCACTAGTGATTGGACCCAAAGGCCAAA